TAAAAATGGTTTTAATATAGATCTATTAAAAAAGAAAAAAATAATTAATTGCTGGATTTATGTCAGTTATTGCTACACTCACATTAAGAAGGTTGACAGGATTTGATTTTCATCAACCACTACCCAACCAAATTCAAGACCTCCAGAGAAAGACTGAAACGAAAATTGATGTAAAAGATGAAAGATTTATCCTAAAGAAATTGACAGCCCAAAACGATTAGAAATAAATGTCTTCAATCTGAATAGGATAACTTGCATTAAACTAGGAATCCTTCTTGTTAGAGTTCTTCATAATGATATATAAAAATTAGCAGAACAGGGATCATATTGACAGACTAACTTAAAGTTCTTTTACTTGTGTCCTATGAAAAAGTTGGTTTACTTACAGTTCCTTCCAACATTTTCAGCAATGCCTGTTGAACACCCTCCCCAGATACATCTCTACTTAAGCTCTCTGCCTGAAAAAATAGTATCTTTGTTATTAATATAAGGGGGCGACACAATAAGTTGTTTTTCGAAATTTATATCTATATCACACCTTCTTCGTTATCTTATCAACTTCATCAATGTAGACAATCCCTTTCTGAGCTGCTTCCACATCAAAGTCAGCTTCCTAAACACAATGCAACAATCAGAATGTAATTATGTAAGATGTGCTTAATGTCACACAATCCCTTGACATGGAAACGCATGATATAACATAAACCATACCATAAGCAGTCTATACAATATTGATTCCACATCTTCTCCGACATAACCTGCCTGCATAGTCAGAGAGAGAGAGAGAGTAGTGGAACTATCAGCGAATCCTTCCAAGCAACAGAAACCATCTCTCATTAACCAAATTGATCGACATTATCACATCTACATCACTATGACATGGAAAATTCAGGACATCAAATTCATGACAAACAGAACAGTAGAGATTTTGCTGTTTTTTGCATGAAACCATTGTTATGTAAAGACTCCCTACAATTCAATTTTTTTCTCCTCTCTTAATACTAACACCATCTCTGTCTCTTATTTTCTTTTCCCTCGTTAACTTGAATGTCTTTTTAAATGTTACAATTGAAAAGAAAAAAAATTAGAAAGGAAACCTCAAATCATATAATATCAATGATCAATCCCACAAGAGGATACTTCTACCAACTTTTCTCTGAATGAAAATGAAAATGATATTTCCAATATGCACAAGAACATTTTCACACATCATTGCATACTTAGAAAACCATAAACTTCCATAAAGGGTGAAAAATTATCATCTTGCATGGTTCATGTGCAACAAATTAAGATTCAAATGAAGTAATCTGATTTTACAGAGTCAATTGACGACGATACAAGATTCCCAAAAGCATTACAAGAATGTTTTCCACACAATGACATTTGAAACAAAAGCTGCAGGGATCATAGCCATGACATCAAGAACATCATGGGTGGAACAAGACTGAGCAATGCACTTGCCTGTGTTAATGTTGTACCATCAGCAATGGCAAACGGCACATTCACAACACGAGCTAGTGTTTTTGCAAGTAACGTCTTCCCTATCCTTGGTCAATGCAAAAAATCATAATGAGTACAACAATATTTTTAAGCCGCACGAGGTTCCAACGAAAAAAAGGCCACAAAGCACACAAATAAGAATGTTAATCCTACCTGAACCAGTGGGACCCATCAATAATACATTGCTCTTCTCCAGTTCCACAGAATCACTATCAAGTACACCTTGAAGTTTAGAATCAGCTGATTCTGCACCAGACCTGATATTCAGTTCGCAATCCAACAGTCAATTAATAAAAGGCATAAAAGACACATCAATTTAAACAATAAAAGTATCTAAAACCGTATCTTCATTTGTTGTAAACATCTCAAACACAGAAACTTTCTCAGCAAGGAAGGACCAACACTTTTTGGACTAACCTAGTCTGCAGGGAAGCGTGATGTATCCTTTTGTAGTGGTTGTAAACTGCAACGGAAAGCACCTGCACACGCACATATGAAATCATTCACTTAATTTTGCACAACATTTGATTTGCTCAAACAATGAAATCCAATAAAATTCAAAAACCCAAAACCTTTTTGGCTCTTTCCTGGCCGACAACAAAGTCATCAAGCGCCTTATAAATTTCCTTCGGGGTGGGCAAGTCCGTGGCTGCCGATTCCGTGGCTGCCGGAGACGAATCAACAGCGCAGGAGGGCTCTGGTTTTGCATGAAAGGAATTGGCGCGCGTGTCATCCTTGGGCTTAAGCCTACCAATCTCGATGAAAGTGCCATGCAGAGGGACGAGTTTCAAAGGCCTGAAATAGAAGGCGGTCTTGCAATTGGGGCAAAGATTGAGGGCCTGGTAAAGCCCCGTCTCTCGGCCGGTAATGGAGAGTGGTCTGGTGGAGAAGAGCACCGCCATTTGTTTGGAGCATCGGGGACAATTGACGTCAGCCCTAATGTGGTCGTACTCTCCTCCACTCCCTCGTCCTCCTCCAATTGGGCCCTCCCACTTGTGGCGCTGCTGGTGGTGGTTTGGGAGGACTGAGGAGTGAGTGTGCGTGGGGTTTGTGGCAGAGACTGATGCGGTGGCGGTGATTATTCGGATGAGGGAGGATCTGCTGCCGCTGCTGCTAAATCTATATCGAAGAGATTGAAACATGTCTTGGTTTCGGTGTAGCAGATTTTTGGTTATTTGATTACAATTTGGAATGGAAAAGCAGAGTCATTGGAGAGTGAGGAGAAATGTTAGCCCCTTCCCTCCAACAGTAGCCAACTGGAGTTTTTATCCTTCTCCTTTTTATCTTACAATAATTAGCCAATCTTGCATGCTATTAAATTTGAGGGTAAATTGGTTTCATCTTTTTTGTAATCTATCTATCTGTATAGCAAAAGACGGAGAGAACGATAAAACATTCAAAATACCAGAAAATGCAACTGCGTGCGGAAAGAGTAGTATATATATAAATATATATACACAGTCATGTTGGATTAAAATTAACCGATAATTAACTCAACTTTTAATTTTTAATGCAATTGTTTTCAATAAAATAAATTTAAAAAATGAAATATTCTCATTTCTTGTTTCATTTTTTGGGTTGAAATTCTCATTTCTTCTTTTTTTCACTTGTCATCAGTTGCTCCGTTGAGGTGCAATAAATGATGACATGTCAAATTGTCGAAAAGTTGGATGAGAGATTTTTTTAGTTAAGCGTTGTTTGGCCACCTACAGCCCTCTCTTATTCCTCCTCCGTGCCATTCATTTTTTTCATTTTCATCGTCGCTTTTCTTCATTTATTCCTGTTAGCTTGGAAATTTCACGATCCAAGAGAAAATGCCAGCAATGCCTTCGTTATTTCCAAAGCTTCTACACTTCCTATGAAACAAAGAGTATAAAACCAGAAAGAAAACCCAACCGATTCATTTTCCATACCAATTCATCTCCTCGTTGCCTGCCTGCCTGCCTTGCCCTTCATCAAACAAACAAGACATTTGCATTTCATTTTCTTCCTGCGAAATGCCGCCTCCTCCTTCTCCTCTGAAACTCAAGAAGTCATCATCTTCCACTCAAACCCTCACCACCACCGCTACTAGCGCACAGGATGCGCGCCTTCTCGTGCGTGAAACGCTGCGTATCAGTGCCAGCCTCGCATCCTCCGAGCCTAATCTGCCGCCTTTAGACACCCAAACTCACACCCCCCGGAACCAGCTTGGTTTGCTCCACCACGATCAAGACTTCGTAAGCTCCAGCTTCAGATTGATTTGCTGCGAGGAGATCGACGGCCGCCGATGGAACTACGTGGCCGAGCCCGATTCCTCCCCTGGTACCTTCAAGAAGGGCTCCCTTCGTGCTCTTGGCTTGCACAGCCCCCAACCTCCTCTCGACGTCAGTACTTCTAACTATTACTCTCTCTATCTCTCTTCTCTTTTTCTTTTTTTCTTTAATTTGGCTGCTTTCTGCTGCATTTTTCTTTTCAATTCTTCTATGTTTCCATGCTGAATTTCATATAATCTGTCAACTCAATTTTTGAAATTTGATAATTGAGACTGAACAAGTGGTGCTGTTTGCTAAGTTGCTCAATAAGCATTGGCATTTTGCCATTCATGCATCAGAGCCATTGCTGGCGCTCACTGACGTTGAAATACATGAAGAGTTTGAGAAATTTGATCACTTTTTCTCTGAGTGCTGATTAGTGACTCTTCTGAGAGGTTCGGGTGTTGAATTTTTTATGCAGGGGTTAATGTCATTTGTAAGGTCATATGTTGTCCCGGAAGGATTCCCTGATAGTGTAATCCCTTCCTATGTCCCCTACATGACGTGGAGAGCTCTCAAGGTATACGCTTAATGTCTGTGCTCTATTTATTATGCATACGGACCGCAAATGCTGCTCAAACTTGTGTGAACCTATTTCCATGATTTGATCACTTTGGTGTAACTGAATGCCATATTGACAATAACCATATTTGTTGTAGCACTTCTTTGGTGGCGCAATGGGTGTTTTCACAACACAAACCCTTTTGAATTCTGTTGGAGTCTCTAGAAACACAGCTGCTCCTGGTGCTGTTGCTATCAATTGGATTCTCAAGGTAGCGATACTACTTGTCACTGTTGATTTGACATTTGTTGATCACAAATTTTGTCTTTACTCATATTGGACTCTCAAGGAAAATTGTAACATTCCTTTGGTTTTTATTTGTTTTGGTTGCAAAAGGGTGATTTTGAGAATATGCCTTTCTTTCTGCTCTGTTAATTGTATGATATGTAAACTTGGCTATGACTATTAAGTTTTGGGTTACACAAAGCATACCTTTCCCAGATCAGAACAGACCAGGGAGGAGCTTAATTATATTAAAGCCTTTTTAGGAGATCCTCATATTTTCTATTTGGAGTTGGTATTTGCCAGGGCTTTGCCTGTCCCAATTAGTACCTGTTACCATCCCTTGAAGGCCTTTCTAAATATGTTGGTAAGTGATTTAGATATTCAATTGAACCCACCACACTAAATGAGCATGAGAAACTCCTTATCCTTACTCTTGTGACTGCCGAAATCTTGATGGAGGAACCTTAGGTTTTATTTTATATTTAGTTATGATGGAGGTGCTGTAATTTCAGAAGCAAAGAACCAATACATGAAAAATTTCAGGCTCATCAGGAATAATTATGATGTACAAAATTATCAAGGTTTTTGTTTTCATATAGATCACGTTAAATGTTTGCCCCTAAATCATCTTTCCCAGTCAGCATATTATTTGCATAAAAGAGTAGATGGTCGGCATGTGTTAGTTTAAATATACCAGACTATTTGCAATCATACTGGGAGGGTTTGCCCATGTTGATTCCACTAACCATTTGTGAGAGCAGTGGAAGACTAATTTAAAATAAATATGATGTTCCATTGGAATTATATTTAAAAACGAGAGGATGAAAATTTTTATTTAGTTAATCCTTGTATTTTTGGGGGGGGGGGGGGGGGGGGGGTAG